AGAGAGAGAGAGAGAGAGAGAGAGAGAGAGAGAGAGAGAGAGACAGACAGACAGACAGACAGATAGACAGACAGACATACACATACACACACAGACAAACAGATATGTAAAGATAAAGAGAGAAAGGGGAGAGCAAAGAGACGAGAGAGGAACGGAGAGAAAAACCGAGAGAGCGAGAGTGATTACGGCGCGCATGTGTCCTCACAGCCCTCTGGCGGCTGGAACGCGCTCCCACATAAACAGCTGACCGAACGTCGTCTGCTGCAGTGTTATCTCGGAGGTGGTGCGAGGAAGACGACGCTCCATCGATCGCCTGGTAATCCAAGCCTCTCAAGCTAAGCCCTGCGCAGTTGCCATGTGACATGTCTAGATCACCTGTTACGGACAAAGCCTGGTAAGTGATCGATGCCCAGAGCCCAAAATTCCCCGGCCAGATTAACCGCCTAAATAAGAGAAGAGAGAGTTAAGGTCCGTAATGGGGGGTTGGGACTTCGCTCCCGAGTGACGGGACGTATCACATACATAGGCTTCAGAACCAGTCCAGGAACCGGTCTGCCTTTCCCTCTCTCTCTCTCTCTCTCTCTGCTCTCCTGTCGGAAGGGAGGGGGTGAGAGGGAGGGCCGAGGAGAAGGAGGGAGAGGCGTAAGTACCCGATAGGTTAGTCAGCTCCCGTCGGCGCGTGGCTCCACGTCAGGAAAGCTGGGAAGTTGATAGCTTAATCTTGGTCGAAGGTCGCCGCTGACAACGCTGCGTGAGGTCTTACATATAATGTGCAGTTATTATGATTCATGCTCACGATCTCGCAGGCTCGTTCGCTCTCCTATTGTCATTTTTTTTCTCGGTCTGGCCTTGTTTTTCCCTTTCTTTCATTATGTCGTTCTCTTTTTTCCTTCTCCCATTTGACACCACGGCCTGTTCTCTCGCTTTTTTTATCTTTTGCTCTTTTTTGTATGTAGGTGGTCGGTTTGTCTCTCTTTCTCTCTCTCTTTCTCTATTTCGCTGTCTCTTTCTCTTTCTGTCTCTCTTTCTCTCTGTCTCTGTTTCTCTCTCTGTCTCTCTCTCTCTCTCTCTTCTCTCTCTCTCTCTCTCTCTCTCTCTCTCTCTCTCTCTCTCTCTCTCTCTCTCTCTCTCTCTCTCTCTCTCTCTCTTTCTCTGTCTCTCTCTGTCTCTTTCTTTCTCTCTCTGTCTCTGTCTCGTCTCTGTCTCTCTCTCTCTCTCTCTCTCTCTCTCTCCCTCCGCCCTACCTCCTCCCTATCTTTCTCTCCCTCTCTCCTTATCGCCCCCTCTCTCTTTCCCTTACCTGAATCCCTCACCCCCCCCTCGACACCCTCCTCTCTTCCCCCTCCTCACGCAGGCACAAGCAAGCATCAAGCACTGCCACCTCATCCACCAGTTCTCGTGACTAGCACATGACAACCCAGCGCCCATCCCATGTAGGCCTATGGCACATCGGCCTACAAAGGGGTACAATTATGGGCGTCATTTGTTCTTTTTTTTTTTACCTTGTGTGTAATTTCCGGGGTGAAAGTCCTGTGATTGTGGAATGTTTATTTTTTATTACGATGTTTTTTTGTTTTTTTTTTCTGATTTCTTGGTGAGGGTCTTGGGGTTGATTTGTCTGTTTTTCCTGTTGTCTGTGTAACTGTCTGTGTCTTTGGGTGTCTGTCTGCTTGCTTGTTTACTTTCGTGTCTGTGTGGGTGTATCTCTCTTTCTTTGCCCTTAATTCCCTGCGTTTATGTTCTTAATTCTCTCCTTATTTATTTATTTTTTCATCTCGTCCTATCTCTGTATTTGCTATTGTCTTTCTGCCACTGACTTTCCTCTCTCTCCGTCTCTCCCTTCCCTTTTCTCTCTTTAATGAGATATTCCTCTCCCTCTCCCTCTCCATCTCTCTCTCTCCCTTTCCTTACGTCCCTCTCTTTCGTCCCACTCTCTCCCTCCCTTCCTTTCTCCTC